TGAGCAGCCAGCGCCAGTCGATACATGTCGGTTGCACAAGGATCAAACGACATGGATGGCTAATGGGAGATTTGATTTGATAGGCCTTCGGTCTCGTCGTGTACAGAGTCTTCTTCCACCCCCTTGCCAAATATCCCGGTCCTTTCCTGGCCAAAATCACCGATGCATACCAGCTCTATCACGCTTACAAGGGCGACCGCCACCTTGAGTTCTGGCGCATGCACCAGAAATATGGTAAGAAGAATTTCGCGAATCCCGAGAGACTCCTTCTTCTCCCCCAGTCTTTGGATTGCTGACACAAAATCTTCCAGGCAAGGTGGTTCGATTCGGTCCCAACTCCGTCTCCTTCAACTCCAACCAGTCCCTCAAGGAAATCTACGGCTTCAAGTCCAACGTGCGCAAGGCCGAGTTCTACGATGCCTTTGTCCACCCAGCCGCCAACACGCACAACACGCGCGACAAGGACGTCCACGCCCGCAAGCGCCGCGTCCTGTCGCACGCCTTCTCCGAGAGTGCCATGAAGGAGATGCAACGCTATATCCTGGGCAACGTCCGCACCTTTTGCGACCAGATTGGCCTCAACGATGGCGGCGCCGACGCCAAGGGCTGGACGAAGCCGCGCAACATGAGCGACTGGTGCAACTACTTGGCCATGGACATCCTGGGTGACCTCAGCTTTGGCAAGGCTTTCCACATGCTGGAGAGGCCCGACAACCGCTTTGCGCTGGAGCTGGTCGAGGCCGCCACCACGCGCCATCTCATTTGCGGCACCATGCCCATTGTCGACAAGCTCAAGATTGACAAGTTCTTGTTCCCCAAGCTTGCTGCCGGTCGCGCGAGATACATGGCCTACAGCAAGGGCCAGCTCACTGAGCGTACCAAGCTCGGCGAGGAGACGGATCGACGTGACTTCTTTTACTACCTGCTCAAGGCTCGCGATCCCGAGACCGGTCACGGCTTCACCACCCCCGAACTCTGGGGCGAGTCCAACTTGCTGTAAGTGTTTGGGAGAAAAATGCGTTGGAGAAGCCACAATGAGAGAAGCTGCTGGGCGTCCACCATGGGGAGTTTTCTTTTTTGCTGACTATAAGTGTTCAAAATAGCATCATTGCCGGCTCAGACACCACGTCCACCGCCATGGCCGCAACGCTGTTCTACCTCGTGCGCAACCCGCACGCCCTGAAGCGCGTGACGCAAGAAATCCGCACCAAGTTCAGCGACGTCGAGGAGATTGTCCACGGCCCCCTCCTGGGATCGTGCACCTACCTCCGCGCCTGTGTCGACGAGGCCATGCGCCTCTCGCCATCCGTGGGCGGCATCCTGCCCCGTGAAGTCCTCCCCGGCGGCATCACCATCGACGGCCAGACGCTGCCGCAGGGCACCGTGGTCGGAACCCCCCACTACACCATCCATCACAACGAGACCTACTACCCCGTTCCGTATGGCTACGCGCCCGAGCGCTGGCTGCGCGACGAGGTCAACCCGCTCACCGGCAAGACCACGACGGAAGACGATGTTGCCCTCGCCCAGAGCGCCTTCTGCCCCTTCTCCATCGGACCCCGTGGCTGTATCGGCAAGGGTCTGGCCTACGTCGAAATGACCACCACTCTGGCCAGAACAATCTACTTGTACGACCTGCGACGAGCCATTGGCGTCGTTGATCCAGGCGAGGGCCGCGCCGACCTCGAGTGGGGGCGACACCGCGTGACAGAGTTCCAGCTGGTTGACACGTTTACCAGTGCCAAGAAGGGTCCTATGGTTGAGTTTAGGAAGGTTGAGAAGGCCTAAAGGCGGTGTTTGGCCTCTTTGTGGACATGGACGCAAATATTAGGATGGGGGGTTTTGGATATAATGGTTTAACGACATTCACGGACGGGTAAATCTGTAGTTTCTGGCTTTTGCTTTGTGACTAGTAGTTTCTGCGTAATGTCTGCATTAGGGAGACGATGATATGGGGTGGAAGATACTAGTTGTTATTTCTGATTAAAAAAAAACTTGAAATCTCATCTGCGGTGCTTCTGTGATGGTTTTTGTTCTTCTTCTCTTTTTTTTGGCTTCTCTATTTTGCGAATGGAGAACGTGGCTGCTGTAGACGGGATTAACGAGGTATATTCTGATGCTGTGGCCAGGTCGTCAGGTGAGCCTAAGCATCGTTGATGGCTAATACGGGACCTTGTGAGTCTCATGTAGAAGTCGTACATGATTTTTTGTTGTTGCAGTGCCAAAAAGATAGTATGCGTTACTCTGTACTGGGATAGATTGATGAAGGGACCAACTAAGTGCGTCCACTGTCAGCCCCACTGCCGAGCTTTGCAGTTGGATTGACCCTCCCCTGTGCTCATGCACAAGGTACTTGGGTACCTGCCCGAGGATTTGACCAGCCCACCAACTGCATCAGGCTCGCAAGGCTGATGGATTTCTTCAATGTTCTTTGCGTCCCAAGCTACAACGCGCGACTGACCTCCGCTCCAGACCCGGTTGCTCAACGGATCGGTTGCGCCTCCACGAGGTCGAGCATATTGATCTTGCCAAAGGACCTGCTCAAAGTCTCAGGTCCTCGGATTGATCCAGCTCTCGAAATGAAGTTATAGCCTGCGAAACTACCTACTCTCGAGCCCTTCGTTCGAGCGAACCGCCCACCATGGCGATATGCAAATTCTACCAGCAGGGCTATTGCAAGTTCGGCAGTATGTCCACCCCAATCACCTCCCAGATCCAGATGTGCAGACTTGATGATTGACCCTGTACGCAGATACTTGCCGGTTTGAACATCCCGATGCTGGAAATAATCGAAACCAGAGCCAGAATCGCTTCGGCACTCTTGCTTCCGGCGCAGGAGGTGGCAGCAGCAGAGCATTACAAGATGCACTCGGTAAACAAATTTTTCATCCATCGCTGACTAGTAGCGGCGCTGACTCTCTGCAATCGCAGACAAGTACAGCATCGTCACCGATACCATGGTCAAGGACCTGACGAGCGAGGCGCCCCAATGGATTCTGTCGGCTTACGCGCCGGGGAGAAATGCCCCGGAGCAGCTGTTCGGAGGATACCCTCGAGAACAGAGCTTCGAAGAGATGAGATTACACTTTATGATGGGAAAGGCGGCAGGGAATGAACAACAGGCTGTGAGTAGCCGCCCACTCGGACACTGAATTTTTCTTAATCTTTTTTTTTTTTTCGAAAGAGACCTGGATTGTTCTGACCCATTTGCAGCTCAATCAAGCACAGGAACTCTATCAGAATGCCCAACAGCAAATGCAAAATGCTGTACGAAATATCGACGAAGCTGCCCGATTCGTTGTGGAAGCCGAGAACAAGCACCCCAACCGATTGGATGTCTGCCGAGAAGGATCTCAGGGGGCTCCCTTTGGCGAGTTCCAGGTTGGAAAGAGACCCAGCGGTATTGCTCAGCCGGCGCAAGCAAATCCTTTCAGCACCGGCTCTACCACCACCGCATCACCGTTTGGCCAAGCTGCTGCTCAACCCACGCCGAGTGCCTTTGGGCAGCCAGCAGCCCTGGGACAACGACCAAATCCTTTTGGCACACCGGCATTTGGCCAACCGGCTCAGCCAAGTTCGGCATTCGGCCAGCCTTCTCAGCCATCGTCGGCATTTGGACAGCAATCATCGCAGCCGGCGGCCCCCGCGTTTGGGCAACCCTCCCAACCTACATCCGCCTTTGGACAAGCATCTTCCCTTGGAGCCAAGCCGAGCCCGTTTGGAACGCCGTCATTTGGTCAGTCCGCCCAGCCTACGAATTCACAACCCGGCGGATTCGGCCAGCCCAGTCAACTGGGCGCGAAACCGAACCCCTTTGCCTCTGGTGGCGCGGCAAACCAAGGTTCCAGTCCGTTTGGATCTCTGGGAACTGCCAACAATGCACAAGCCCCTGCGACAGTCAACCCCTTTGCGAGTTCAAACGCCAATCAAAGCAATGCTACACCAAATCCCTTTGCATCTAATAATTCGAACCAGAACAACACCAGCCAGCCAAGTCCGTTTGGACAACAACAACCAGCACAGAATCAAAGTCCATTCGGCCAAGCTTCAAGGCCGAATCCCTTTGCTTCCACTACCACAACGGCGAACCAACAAGTGAGCAACCCCTTTGCTCAAAATACCCAAAACCAAACCAACGGTGTCTTTGGAAAACCCTCTCCTACCCCATTCGGCCAGGGTGCCTCACAGCAGCCGAGCCCCTTTGGATCGGCAAGCCAGCCCCAACAAGCCGCTGCTTCTGCAACAGGCGGCAATAATCCATATCCTCCAGAGAGCACGAAGCAGCACCCTTCCCTAGAGAGCTACGCGTCCAGGAATATGGATGGGACGCTGGCGGCATTCAAAGGCAAGCCTGTTACCTACAAGGACGGCAAGCCGGGAATCAGAGCATTCGACGGAACTTGGACACGCATATGGTTCCCGGACGGCGCGCCAGGGTATTACAAGGATACTGAACTCTCCGTTGAAGCTTATGACGAGCAGTCCCAGGCTCAATGGGCGGCGTTTGCGCAATCGGGCCAGTTTGCGGAAGGCATAATGCCCGAGTTGCCGCCGCCTCGGGAGTGTACACGGTGGGATTTTTGAAGAAATTGTATATATGTTCATGGTTGGCCATGGGAAAGGGGTTAGTTATATCGATAGCTCGGGACACATAGGTTTGATGCATATCGCGGCGTTGACGGATTTCATATACGGCCATGGCAGATGATTGGGATGATTGGGGGAATTTTTGGACCTGCAGAGTTATCGCAACATACGGCATGTATATGTGGCCAGAAGATCCTGGGCTTGACGAAAGCATGTACACCAAATGCACAATTGGACATGATTCGACAACTTTGCCCTTTTCCAACGACGGGCCAATTGCCCATTTCCTAAATCTACGAGCACACATTGCACACAGGTCATGTAGTTGCACAAAACCCAGTGTATTGAAACTGTCTGCGCCTAGCACACTTGCCACCTCAACACGCCACGCCACGCCCAACAAGTCTTGCCATTTAAGCGGCAATAGTGACCTCGACCTCGACGCCGGCATCGATGTTGACAATGATTTGCTTGACAACCTCGGTAGGGGCGTGAAGACTATCAAAAAGAAACAAGAGTCAGCAAGAGTAACACGCACACGGCCTAACGTGGCAGCCGGAAAGGAGCAGAGCATGAAAACGCACTCAATGAGACGCTTGTGGATGCGCATCTCGTACGAGTCCCAGGTCTTGGAGCCCTCGCCGCAGGGAGTCTTGCGGGTGGTGATCTTCAGCGTCTGCGTGGGCAGGCGGACGGGGCCCTTGACGCGCAGGTCCTTGCTCTTAGCACGGTCGAGGATCTCGGTGCACACCTTCTCGAGGACATTGACCTTGCGGGAGGTGAGGGTGATGCGGATCTTGTGGGCCTTCTGTACGTTGCGAAAAAAATAAACAAGTAAACGTCAGTAAATTATCAGGGGGCACGAAAAAGAAGATGCGTCTGGGGCGAGGGGAGCTTGTCGCCGGCCGTCGTGCATAATGGGGCTTTTGGGGGATGAAACGTACGGGGCCTTCGCCAACGTCCTTTTCGGCCTTGTTGTAAGACATGTTTGCTGGGTGGATTGGAAGGATGTAGAGAAAACTTCACGACTCGACACGCGAGGGAATCGGCGACGTTATCGGCAAAGTGATGAAGTTTGCTTTGTGGGTTGGTGAGAGGTTCAAAGATCGCGAACTATTTGGTGGTGGGGGTGTTGGATGTATTTTCCCAAGTCGTAGGGCTTTTTTTGTGCGCGCTAGTCCTGATTGGGGTGTTGGAGGGCAATCCTGCCTGCGGAAAGGGTACGTACCAGCTGCGAGGTGCAGTTGTGGGGCGGCGGGTTGGCGCTGCGGCTCTCTTTGCGTGACGTTGGAGCTTCAGCAAGGCGGGATGTGTGGACTCGGGATGATTCATCCGGCAGGACAGACTGTGAAATATATATTTCAACATGCTTCCGTGGACGCCGCTGATTTTTTATACAATGGCATAAGCACCGGGGACTGCGTCAACGGACTACTCTCGTATCTCTTTTATTCTTGACTGTATTCATCCCGGCATCACCCCGCACTGAGATTACACCCGACATGCGTCTCCCCCCGTTGGCAGCCTTCCCCAAGGCCTCGTGGCAGCAACAGCTTCCGCCCCAGGAATGGGACTCCCTCGTGCAGGCGTGGGTAGCGCTCTGCAGAGCCTATCTAGACCTCACAGACGACGACTTCAAAAGGCAGACTGAATCGCACGCCTCCCTTGTTACATTCTCATCGACGTTTGTGCATGAAGTTGTCGCGGCGCCTTTGATGTCAAAGTCGACATTGCTCCTCCGGCCCGTGTTCCACCTGACTTCGCGGCTTTTAAGACTCCTAGCTCCTCCAGTTCTATTGGAATATTCATTTCTCGCAGACTTTACCAGGATATATCCCAAAAAACGCACCTCTCCGCTCATCGCAGGCCTCTTCAGCACTCACTCGAGTAGTACACACATTGAAGCCTCTCTCACGACTCTCAAGAAACTGCTCATTCCAATCCTCGACTCCGGCATCAAGGGGGATCTGAAATTAGTGGAGGCTAAGCTTGTCTCGCTTAGCCCGTTGTTACACGTATCACCACACTCGTGTATACAGTTACTGGCTGGATCAGATTTCTTCGAAGGACTGGTGACGTGCTTTAAGGTTATGAATCCGCCGTTGAGAAAGGCCATTGTCACAACCACGTATCTATGCGTAGTTGGGCTGACGGAAGCGGAACCGCCAAAGTGGTCGATGCTGAGTGACCAGTTGTTTACGCTGAAGACTGTTGCTGAGGAGCACAGGATGGGACCGCTGAATGCAAACGACTCGCTTGTGGCGGAACTGGTTACCGCGACGCCATTGTTGAAGGTCCTGCAGAGGAGGGCTGAGGAACGTGGTGCTGCTACGGAGAGCTTGAAGAAGCGGATTACTGCGTTGGAGCCCTTTAAAAAGGGACCGATGGCAAGGCCAAAGCGGCCTATCAGGAGGAAGGTTGATAAAGGCAAGGGGAGGCAGACAAATGAGGATGTGCGGGCTGAAATGCATGTCCATCACATGAGTCAAATAACTCATGTTCAAGACTTGTTCCCCGACCTTGGGGCTGGTTTTGTGTCCAAGTGTCTGGATGAGTACAAGGATGATGTGGAACTGGTCGTGGCGAATCTACTTTCGGAATCACTGCCGCCTCACTTGGCTACAGCGGACAGGAGCGAACCGTTGTACGTGGAGACGGGACATCAATTTCAAGTATACTGGAACACACAAAGTCATTGTACTAACAATTCATACACAGATCGCCTCACCAAGACATTCCCCATCAGTCAAACCTGGCGCCTCGATCTACACCACCGCAGGTTCCAACTAGACGGAACGTCTTTGACGATGACGAATTCGACCGCCTCAGTGCTGACGAGTCCAAGATTTCATTCGGCAAGAAGCCGCAGAAAAACGCTGATGAACTCCTAAAAGACAAATCCACAGCGTCAAACAAGGCTGCCATTCTGTCTGCTCTTGCATCATTTGACTCCGATGATGACGAGCGCGATGACACATATGATGCAGCTGATGTAGGCGGCACTGTGGACACGATGAACCAAGAAGCGGATGGGGTAGATGATGGAAATGAAGAAATCCTTTTCCGAGCATATCAATCGGACGAGAGGGTGTTTGGCCGAGATGTTGGCACAAGAAGGGGCAACGCGCGAACGAAACTGAGGGAAGAAACCGGTATGACGGATGAAGCTATAGAGGGATGGGCAGTCATGCTGGCACGAACTCCTCAGCAAAAGAAGAGACTAGACGCCAAGTATGCTTTTGCAGGGCAACAGGTCCGACTCGAGCGCACGGCCTGGAGAGCTAGTCCAGCAGGGTCGGCAACTGAAGATAGTGACATTGATGGCGGAGCTGGTAGGGGTGGCGGAGGAGGCAGAGGTGGACGCGGACGTGGAGGAGGGCGAGGACGAGGGAACCGGGGCGGCAACGTTGCTGGACCGACCAGTGAGAAAGAAACTGAAGCGGCGAGGAGAAACAAAGAGGCACATAAGGGGTCTCGAGCGAATCATAACAGGAGGGATGCCCGAGCAAAGAAGATGGCTCGCGGTGGTTTTGCTGGCTGATGTGGCCCGGGCCTACTTGCCAATTCTCTTCCTCTTTGGCCGACTCCCCGTGTCGTAACCCGAGGTCAATATGGGGGTCTGATCTAGGCAGATAGATCCTCGCTTCGGCACTTGCTCCAAGGCAGTAGCTTCAAGAATATCCCCAAAGTCCGGTTCTCCTGGAATACCACGGGTCTCATCTATTACAAGTGTCGTTGGATAATAATACCCGGCCGATTCACCATCTGGAAGGAACTCAAAAGGCGGCATCGGTGAAGCGCTGTTTACGAAAGATGAGCCAATTTCCTCGATACCCGTGCCTCCACGGTGGCAATCTCGTGGTGTAGCCAACTCAGATACATGCTCATTCGGCGTCCAGTCAGGCTCCGCTTCACCCCTGTAGTTGATCATACTCTGTAACGATGCCCGCGAGCTTCTTCGGCTGTCTTGGTATGTTTTCAGGTCATAACACCGTCGACAAGAAGGGTAGGCGGCATAACGGTCCGCTTCGTCTCGGGCCTGAGGCAACTCAGGACGACGCTGCAATCCGCATTTCTCTTGGATGTCGTCAAAGATATCAGCAGCAGGAGTGAAGAATGTGATTCGAGGACCAGGACCCCAGTACTTGTTACGTCCCCATAGCTGGCCATAAAGACAATTGGTTTCTGCATCCACGATGGCAGCACCACTGTCACCCTCAACTCCAATACCTCCACGTATCCAAGAGTCCTCACTACTACATGAGGAGAACGGCTCTTCCACAAACCATTCACGAGTTGCTTTTCCGGTACCGTTCTCTTCAGCGCTTACATAGGCGGGCATTTCGCACACCGTCCCTCTTTGGTAGCCTGATGTTCGGCCGCTGGATACGACAGCAGCACCCGGGCTGATGCCGCTCGTCCCGCCGCATACCGATCTAATGAGGGGTTCCATAATGATCGGCTGAGTTTCTGAAGGGAAGCGACGAAGAATGTTGGCTCTGCCTCCCGACTTTCTGTTAGAAGTTACGAGAGCCCAGTCAGTCACTACGAGTGGTTGCTCCATCTCGTTGTCCTCCCAATAGGGATCATGTGAAATTCTTGTCGTCTTCAGATTCAGACCAGATGTAACGGTAAGAAGACCCAGCTTGAAGTCTGTCTCGTCCGAGAGGCAGTCATGTCCCTCAGCTAAACATGGACCTCGGTCCTGCGGGGAAGGGTGTTCGATCTTCACCATTGACAAGTTCTGGTACGCAGCCAAAAAAGGGTGAAAGTTTACTAGCCAGTATGATCCCCCGCCAACGTCTAAGCAAGGACCCAATGTGGCTGTACTCTCCTCAATAAGTTCCTCTCCCGGAATGCCCACACTGTCACCCATACATGGACAACTGAAATGGTATGGGTTCCTGGCAGACAGAATATCATCCGGGTGCGTCCGACTAAGGCCTCTAGCCCAGCGTGCAGCACGACTTATTTGGCCGACAGAGAAGACAAAACTCACTAAGCGTCTATACTTGTCAGGGAGTAGGTCGGCGACGTGTCGGGCGATGACGATTTTCCGGGTTCGCGATAACATTGCTGTTGTCATTATACAAATTCGGCGGTGTTGGGCCGTTCGACCCTTCGTACATGAAATGACATGACGAGGACCGGACCATTTAGGGACAAACTCGGCCAGGAATGGAAGGATGGAATGCTCGAAAACGAGAGGGAAGCTGGCTGTCTCGAGGGTACGGGTCGTACGTGCCTGGACAAGGTCTGTTGGGACATGTCCGGCTCTAGGAGTGCCTTCGTTTATTAGCTGGGAGTCTAAGTTGAGGGAAAGTCAAGCATCGGATGACAAATGCAGAGGGCACAGGGAAGTCATTTTGAACGTACCGGCATTCTTTCGAGCTTTCTTTTCGATGATGGTCCATAACCGGTCTTGGCATTTCTTCTTGGCCCTCGCCACCATGACATTCTCCATAGCTGCCTTGGTTTCTGAGTCAACACTTATAGCCGACTTTGTTGGCGTCGACTCTGTGTTGTGATGAAATTTTGGACTTGTCTCTCTGTTGTCTGCGGCGGACGACGGTAGTTTCCATTCCTTGACAGCATCCTTCCCAGACCCTGGATGTTCTACGGCAATATGGGATGACAACTCACGCCTGCTCTGGAACGGTTGATCGGAACACTCTAACACGGGGCACATGAGTAAGTGCTCAACTTTAACGTGCCAAGCAAGGTCTTTCCGGGTGGCGAAACTTGGCTGCGGGCATCCAGCCCAACTGCATGCGTGAGTGTGCACAGCTTGAACATGAGTCTGGAGATCCGCATCAGACGCGAACGAAAGATGACAGTGGGGTGCTATGCAAACCCGCTTTTTGTAGTTGGCAAGCTCAGATTCTGCATTATCCCTGGCATGTTCGTCTGCGCCTTCTTTGCCAATCTCTCTGCCCAGGTGACTTGGACTTGGCGAGCGTGGACCGATCAACACTTCACCTTGTTC